CCGTTTAGCATGCTCTGTTTCTGTTCAGTCGATTTAACATGATACAGAAGCACAGAAACATAACACGCGAACGTGTTGAGTACACAGCGTTTGTTTTGTTTTATTTGTAGAAGAAATTATGTTAAAAATAGTGAAATTCGAATAAATTTTAGAAAGGAATTATGAAAAACATTGTCTTGTATAGAAATTAAAAAATGTATATTAAACACCATATAGAAATTCAATAAAACAAGAAAAAAAATTAAATAAAGTTAAAAAATTATACAAAATATAAAAAAATATTTACAGGTCATAATAAAAAATAGTACAATATGTATAATACCAACGAGCTAAACAAGTTAGACAGCTAAGGTTAACATGGCAGTTTGTGTCAGAAAAATCTAAACTTTTTATCATCATAACTTATTACTATCATTATTTTTTTATGTTTAAAAATATTTTTTATCCTATTATACAGTGTGTCTACTTAAGTTAGCAACATATGGGAAACTTTTTAATAATTAATTTTAAGAAAAACAGTTATTATTCTATTCTAAAATCTAAAATACAATCATCAGAAATAAAAAAAATTCAGTCGTAACTTATTACTATCATTATTTTTTTTATGTTTGAAAATATGTTTTATCCTATTATACAGTGTGTCTACTTAAGTTAGCAACATATGGGAAACTTTTTTGTTATTAATTTTAAGAAAAACAGTTATTATTCTATTCTAAAATCTAAAATACAATCATCAGAAATAAAAAAAATTCAGTCGTATACGCGGTTTGTCAAAAAATATTAATCTTACTCAATATCGAAAATTCTTATTAAAAAAAGTTTATCAGAACTTAAAACTACGTTCAAATATGCAATTACTTTCATTTACATGGATAAAATCATTTTTTTCTTTTTTGTTTACAATAACATCAGAATTTGCTTATTACTTTTATCATGTTTCATGTAGGTAATAAATAAAAAAGATAAATGGTAATTTTAGAAAAATTTGTAATTTTTTTTAAGTAGAAGGATGTAATTGCATATTAAAACATTGTTTTTCATCCCGAACAACTTTTCATAATTACAGTTTTCGATATTGTCACAAATAAAGGTACTTTACTCTTGTACCAAATTCATATTTTTTGTAAAACCTCGTATAACTGATGATTTTATTTTAGATTTTAGAACATGCGGAACTTTTTATAAAGAATAACTTTTCTTCGTAAATTAATAATAAAAAAGTTTCCCATATGTCGACAACATTTAAGAGATTTTGTATTTATTTTCAAGACAACTATACTTCTTCAACTAAGAACTTATTTTTTTAAGCAATAAATACTCTTTTATCTATTTTTCGTTCATAATGACTTCATTATAACACCGCTTTCGGTGCTGTAATGAGATACTTTATCCCACCCAAAATTTTGATTTTATCGGTTGGCTATACTTTAAACAGCATAATATTTTGCATATTGGTTATAATATTTTTATGATTTTTCTAGTACTTTGTTTAACACCAAAGAAAACACTTTTTTTCTTCTTTAAGTATCGCATGGCGAATCGATTTTAAGGTTTTAAGATTTTAAGTTGCCAAACCAATGACTGATACCAACTATCTAAAGTAAAATTCGACCAAATTAAATTTAAGGTATAAAATTATTTCTTTTATAGAATTTTTGCAAAATAGACAAAATAGCATAAAGAACTCATGTCATAAGACCTTTTGTCGCACTTGTCTTATGACATTAGTTTTTTAATATACTATTGTATTTCTTTTCAAGAGAACTATAGTATATATACTTCTTCCACTAAGAACTTTTTTCTTTAAGCAATAAATGCTAAAATATTGTTTCTAGCCGCTAATAATTTTTTATCAAGAGAGTTGACTACTTTAGTTTAAGGGCACCTTTTTTTCAGTGTAGGGGTAAAATTTCGTTCCTAATATTTGAACAACGTTTAAAATCATATTTATGTAAGTATTTATCACCAGTATGTAAAAATAGCTGTAACTTACTTTACATTGTCTTCGTTGTTTAACTAGTGTAACAATAGCTTACTTTGTTTATTTTTTTTTCGAGAATATATTGTCTTATAAGCTTAGTTTCAAGGGAATGTGGGAGAAACATTTTTTGTTTTTCTAAAAAAGATACTTTTTAAATAATGATTTTAGAGGCGGAAAAATGTCCAAAAACATTCTTTTTAAACATGCATTCCTAAATATAGTTTAAATTTAAAAACGACAATATACTGAAATAATTGTTTTTATTTTTATGGAATTGGTGCATTAAATGCAAAACATTTATTTTATAAGGCATAGTAACAGAAAACTATCTTCTCTTTTAACCTACACCTTTACTAGGAATCACTACCGTGAAAGCGATGTTGCCACATCGTAAAAACCACACAATCATTTTACCATATAACCCAGAAAACCTCAAAATTAATTACAAAAAACACCAAAACTTAACAAGAAAACCTCAGAAGAATTCCATTTTATAGTTTTAAAAAGTTCCCAAAGATATTCGTGTCAATGCAACAGTTCAACGTGGCAACATGGGCTAGAAACAAGTACATTTACTTGGATAATCAAGTGGCCGTAGGCGAACGGTGGCCTTGACTCTTCCACGATCTTTATTTACGCGTTCTTCGCTTGTTTTCTTCCACGGCAGGCCGCGATCGTTTAGATCTCGATTTCGGCCTGTTGTTCCACATCTTTCCACAACCAGAACGTGTTCGTTTTTTGACGTATGCATGTACAGGAAAAAAATAAGGACGGGTTAATTTGTATTTAGTAGATGAGATGTTGTTTACTTTAACCTTGGACAGTCTTGAATACCAAATTACTCAGGTGCCATTGTCAAAAAAGGATGTGAGACACGTTTTGATTTTTTTTAACAATTACGTAGTTTTTTATTAAGATGTACTGTTTTATTTATTATTGAGTTGGGTTTTCAAAAAGAGATTGTTCAACTTCCGATAAAAATAAATATGCTGCGCACTTTTGAGGAACTCCACCATACTTTAATTAGTACCTTTCAATATAAACTATACTTTAATAATTCACAAAATGTTACAACAATTATTAATCATCTTACAAGGCATATCAATCTTGTAAATGTAAATTAATGTAATGCCATAGATTATCATAAATCAGGTAATTTATTTATCTATTTACTAAGGCCAATTTTAGTTGGTTATTTTTATTGTAGGCATTTTTTTATTTCTTTTATTTTTCAATTATTATTTTCAATAATTTGATGAAGACTTTCTAAGTATGCCAAAAATAATCATATTAACGAATCTCAAAAACAATTTTTAAAATGTTAAAACCATATTTTAGATTATATAAATTACGAAGGCATTCTAAAGAATGCCAAAAACACAATTTATAATGTTGAAAACAAATTTTTAAGTGTTGAAAAAATATTTAAAAATACCGAAACATTTTTATGGATGTCATTACTTATTTCTTAAATGCAATATCACAATATAGAAAGTCAAAATGCTCTTTTAGAATGTAAATGACAGACAGGCATGCATGAACTTTCTTAAGAATGTCAAAAGCACAATTATATTGTTAAAAACAAGTTATAGAATGTAGAAAGTTTCGACTCGAAACCATATTTAAGAATGATAAAACAAGAAAAGAGTTTCAAAAACATTAAGAATGAAATGTGAAAAACATATTTTAGAATGTAAAAAACAATTTTTAAAATGTCAAACCATATTTTAGATTATAAAAATTGCGCAAGCATTCTAAAGAATGCCAAAGTCACAATTTATTAAAAACAAATTTAAGAATGTTAAAACAATATGTTATAATAACAAGACATTTTTATAAGTGTCAAAAACATTAATAATGTCAGTACTATTTTTTTAAATGCAATATCACAATATAGAATGTCAAAATCCTCTTTTAGAATGTAAATGACAGACAAGCATACATGAACTTTCTTAAAATTATCAAGAACACAATTAGTGTGTTAAAAACAAGTTATAGAATGTCGAAACCATATTAAGGAATGACAAAACAAGGAAAGAGTTTTAAAAACATTAGGAATGTTAGTACTTATATAAAAATGACATATCATAATATGGAATGTGAAAATATATTTTAGATTATAAAAATTACGCAAGCATTCTAAAGAATCAAAGACACAATTTATTAAAAACAAATTTATGAATGTTAAAACAATATGTAAGAAGAATTACAAGATATTTTTATGTTTTAAAAACATTAATAATGTCAGTACTTATTTTTTAAATGCAATATCACAATAAAGAATGTGAAAATCCTCTTTTAGAGTGTAGGCATAATTAGTGTGTTACAAACAAGTTATAGAATGTCGAAACCTTATTTAAGAATGTCATATCATAATATGGAATGTGAAAAACATATTTTATAATGTTAAAACAATATGTAAGAATAACAAGACATTTTTATGAGTGTCAATATCATTAATGTCAGTTGTTGTTAATTAATGTAATGCTATAGATTATCATAAATCAGGTAATTTATTTATCTATTTGCTAAAGCAAATTTTAGTTGGTTATTTTAATTGCAGACATTTTTTTCACAAACTGGCTTAGCAAGAATTTTTGAAAAATACCTGTAAGGATTAATTAGTTAATCGTTTTAAGGATTAAATATTAATTATTTAAAAAAGCCTTTCCAACAAAAAATCCATTAAAACCAATAAACTAGTTATGTAATAATAAATTAAAATATATCACAAAGATCTTTATTTTATTACCGATTAAAAAAACCGGTTCTACCAACTTCAGCCAATAAATTTTGACAGTGACAAGCGAAAAACAAACGACGGTACGTGTGGGCGACAAAATGCAAATTCTGCTGTCAACTTTTCGGGAATTTTTGACAAATTGAACTTGAAAAACGAACTGAGGAATTTTAATCGCGTTATTTGTGTAAATTATGACTTGTGTGCTTTTGTTCTCTTTGTGCGAGATACGATGTTGCCGTGTTTATATTTTAAAATTTTTATGTATATTTTTCAGGTCGCGAAGATTTGTCGCCAAGCAGTATAAACGGCTACAGCGCAGACAGTTGCGATGCGAAAAAGAAAAAAGGACCGACACCGCGGCAGCAAGAAGAACTGTGTCTAGTGTGCGGCGACAGGGCATCGGGGTACCATTATAACGCTTTAACATGCGAGGGCTGCAAAGGTAATTATCATTTTTATGATTATTTCTATCCAGTTTCAAATCGCTTATTAATTAGCTTAAATGTCAGGGGAGTTTACAACCACCCGTATGATTTACTAATAAAAAGTATGGGGCAGTTTGCAACCACCCGCATTATTTGATAGTTAAATTGTCAGGGTGTGGCTGTGCAAGAACTTAAATGTCAAAATAATAATTTGTATTCTATATTTTAGAATATCAAAAAATCTATTAGATTGTAAAAACATTAAGAATGTTAAAAACACTTTTTAACAATGTCAAGAACATTTTAAAATTTTAAAACCATATTTTAAAATGTTAAAATTACGAAAAATGTTAAGAAACAAATTTGAGAATGTCGAAATCATATTTAAAAATGCCATGTCAGGACATAAAATTTCAAAACAATTTGGAAAGTCAAAACCATTAAAAAAGAATGTAGAAACTTTCTAAGTATTCCAAAAATACAATTTACAATGTTAATAGCAAATTTTAGAATGTAAAAATCATATTAACGATTGTTTAAGAATCTTAAAAACAATTTTTAAAATGTTAAAACCATATTTTAGAATGTCAAGAATAACTAAACTAAGAATGTCAAAAGCAAAAGCAAATTTTAGTATGTCGAAACCATAAGACAAGAGTGAAAACATTAAGACATGTAATAAAAACATTTAAGAATGTCAAAAACAAATTTTAAAATGTTAGAACCGTATTTTGGATTATATAAATTACTAAGGCATTCTGAAGAATGCCAAAAGCACAATTTATAATGTGAAAAACAAATTTTAAAGTGTTGACACAAAACAAGACATTTTTATGAATGTCAAAATCCTCTTTAAGAATGTAAATGACAGACAAGCATACATAAACATTCTTAAGAATGCCATAAGCACAATTAGTGTGTAAAAACAAATTATAGAATGTCGAAACCATATTTAAGAATGGCAAAACAAGGAAAGAGTTTAAAAACATTGAGAATATCAGTACTTATTTAAGAATGTGAAAAACATATTTTAGAATGTCAACAACATTTTTTTTAAATGTCAAACCATATGTTAGATTTTAAAAATTACGTAAGCATTCTAAAGAATTCCAAAGTCCACAATTTATTAAAAACAGATTTAAGAATGTTAAAACAATAAACAAATACATTAATAATGTCAGTACCTTTTTTTTAATGCAATATCGCAATGTAGAATGTCAAAATCCTTTTAGAATGTAAATATCAGACAAGCATAGATGGACTATCTTAAGAATGTCAAAACCTCAATTAAAATTTAAAAATAAATTATAGAATGTTGAAACTATATTTAAGAATGACAAGAGTGTCAAACATTAAGAATGCCATATAACAATAAGGATGGTCAAAAACAATTTTTAAAATGGCAAAAGCACAATTTATAATGTTAAAAATAAATTTTATTATGTTGAAACAATTTGTAAGAATAACGAGACATTTTTATGAGTGTCAAAAACATTAAGAACGTCAGTACTTATTTAAAAATGTCAAATCACAATATGGAAGTCAAAAACACATTTTAGAATGTCAAAAACAATTTTTCTAATATGTCAAATCATATTTTAGATTATAAAAATTACGAAAGCGTTCTAAGAATAACGAGACATTTATATGATTGTAAAAAACATTAAGAATGTCAGTACTTATTTCCTAAATGCAATATCACAATATAGAATGTCAAATCCTCTTTAAGAATGTAAATGACAAGACAAGTTTGTCAAAAACAATTTTTGCAAGCATTCTGAAGAATGCCAAAGTCACAATTTATTAAAAACAAATTTAAGAATGTTAAAACAATATGTAAGGATAACAAAACATTTTTTTGATTGTCAAAAATATTAAGAATGTCAGTACTTATTTCCTAAATGCAATATCACAATATAGAATGTCAAAATCTTCTTTAAGAATGTAAATGAAAAAGCATACATGAACTTTCTTAAGAATGTCAAAAGCACAACTAGTATGTTAAAAACAAGTTATAGAATGTCGAAATCATATTTAAGAATGACAAAACAAGTGTGTCAAAAAAATTAAGAAAGTCAGTATTTATTTAAGAATGCCAAATCACAATATGGAAAGTCAAAACCACATTTTAGAATGTCAAATCATATTAGATTAAAAAAAATTGCAAAAGCATTCTGAAGAATGCCAAAAGCACAATTTATAATGTTAAAAACAAAAAAACATTAGGAATGTCATTACCTATTTCTTATATGTAATATCAAAATATAAAATGTCAAAATCATTTTTAAAATGTCAATGGTAGGCAAGCATAGTTAATATAATGTCAAAATATTAAAAACAAGAACAGTAAATGTCAATTACATATTCCACAAAATAAAATTTTAAGAATGTAAATGACAAAGCATACATGAACTTTCTTAAGAATGTCAAAAGCACAATTAGTATGTTAAAAACAAGTTATAGAATGTCAAAATCATGTTTAAGAATGACAAGACAAGTGTGTCAAAAACATTAAGAAACTCAGTATTTATTTAAGAATGCCAAATCACAATATGGAAAGTCAAAACCACATTTTAGAATGTCGAAAACAATTTTTGTAATGTCAAATCATATTAGATAAAAAAAAGCATTCTGAAGAATGCCAAAAGCACAATTTATAATGTTAAAAACAAAAAAACATTAGAAATGTCATTACCTATTTCTTATATGTACTATCAAAGTATAAAATGTCAAAATCATTTTTAAAATGTCAATTACATATTCCACAAAATAGAATTTTAAGAATGTAAATGACAGACAAGCAGAGGCTCAAATTCTTAAACATGATTTGACAGTTGTCTGCCTACCCAATAGTGAAAATGGATGTGCAAGGAGTAATAGGATTTTTCTTCGGCAGGGTTCTTCAGACGAAGCATAACGAAAAACGCGGTGTATCAGTGCAAGTACGGCAACCATTGCGAGATAGACATGTACATGAGGCGCAAGTGCCAGGAGTGCAGACTGAAGAAGTGCCTCAGCGTGGGCATGCGCCCCGAGTGCGTGGTGCCGGAAGTGCAGTGCGCAGTCAAGCGGAAAGAGAAGAAGGCGCAGAAGGAGAAGGACAAGCCCAATAGCACCACTAACGGCTCCCCCGATATTATCAAGCTGGAACCTGAGGTAAGAGCAACACCAAGCATGGTACAAGAAAACAAGGTATTTTCCTCAGCAGGACGAATTTTTAGTTACCGCCATCTTGAATTTAAATGATATTTTATATCTTAGGAAATTTATCCAAATTTCTATAAAATTATTCGATTTTTAGATTAAATTGTCCAATAATTTGAAGATCACGCGTAAAAATCTATCTATCAATATTACCATTTCAAGAAAATATTATTAATGAAAAAAAACTATTTTTCAATCAAATAAAATATATTGTTTTAAATTAAATATTATTTGCTAAATACCAAAATAAATAAATGAAAAAAATATTTATACATATATATATAATAAAATATTTTAAATAATCGGTTTTCAAAAAAAATATCTTGTTTTAAAGCAAATATAAAGAATGAAATGAGAAGTGTCAAGTTACAACATTAACATTGCAAGAAAAATGTAAACAAAATATTTTTCTAAATTTATTTATTACAAAATTGTTTTTACAAATAATTGCAACTAAGGTTTAGTTGCCAAATAAAAACCCTGAATTTGCAACCATGGAGCCAACATTGAATAAAACAAACTAAACTTGTGAAAAATATTATATTAGGGTTTGGTATAAGCTGGTTTTCTGTCCTTGAAGAGCATTAGCTTCCTTGTCTTGGCACATTTCTTGCACATAGCAAAAATATTTTTGTTTCTCAAGTTTTATTTTAATTTCTTACATTACAGTACTTGATTTCTTAGAGTTTAAGTTTTTTCAAAGTTCATATAATACTTCCTGGTTTTGTCCTATTTCTTGTATATTGTAAAAAGCTATGATTTATATTGTTTTTTTCCAATTTTATTTTAATTTCTTACAAAGTACTTGTTTTCTCTTTTGGTAGATCAGCTGTTAAGTGTTAAGTTGAAACTGTATCCACTTTTAAAGACTTTTATATGGGAATGTAGTTTGTATGTTTTTTCAATCCAATTTTCCTTCTTATAGCAACTATCTTTAAAGTAAATAGAACAAGCTACAAAACTAAAAAAACATAATATATAAATTATTTTTTATTTATATATCTGTCACAGATACTCTGGGTATACTAAAGAAAAGTACTTCTAAAAAACTACTGCTATTTAATTGTTTTTAAAATAAATCCACTTACTATCAATAACATCAATTTTTTCAAGCCAATACTTAGGAAATGTATTGGATTTCCAGTTTTTTCTTTTGGCATTGTTTTTACAGATTTCCACTTGGCCGGTAGACATTTTTACACTATAATAGCTTGAAAATAACTCGCATCGAAAAGTAAATATGTAGTCAATATGGCGGCGACTGGGTTCGCCAATCTGATGGAGCGGTGGAAAAAGATGCGCAAGAGCATACCTTGTTTTCTCGTAGTATGTTTTTCATGCATAGTGTCTAAAAATGATGGCATTTCTGAACATCCCGAAGTGTGTTTCTGCTCTAAACATAACTTCTACAGTTTACAATTAAATACACTTTGGGTGGGCTCAAGAAGAACTGTATAACGTATATTTTTGTTACATTTGTCTTTAACTTGAGACCAATGTGTGCGAAGGATTAACAGACGCGACTAACACTTTATGTAGACTTTTTTTATACAGCTGTCGGACACGGAGAAGATCAGCACGAACGGAGTGAAGCCAATCTCGCCCGAACAAGAAGAACTTATACATCGACTTGTTTACTTTCAAAACGAATACGAGCATCCTTCTGACGAAGACGTAAAACGAATCATTGTGAGTGACAACTTTAACTTTGTTTTTTTTAGAGTTGAGTTGTTTTGTTTTCTTGCAGAACCAACCCATGGAAGGTGAAGAGCAGTGTGATATTCGATTTAGACATATAACCGAAATTACCATTTTAACTGTACAGCTTATAGTAGAATTCGCAAAAAGGTTACCAGGGTTTGATAAACTACTGCGTGAGGACCAGATCGCTCTCTTAAAGGTAAATATGTATTCTTATTTGTATTTTAAATTAATACTTATTTGAAGGATATAGGGAGTTGAATGTATTCGTAGCCTAAGCAAATGGGGTAGTTAAATTTTTTCTGACCTATACTTTTTATGGTTTCATTCAAGGCGTTTTGTAATATTAAACATTTCTGTGAAATCGGAATTTCAATTGAGTTTACCGTTTTCGAGATATTTACAAAAAATATAAATTTTTATGACGTCACAAACCTCGCCGTGTGACCAACATTCTAAGATTTCTATTGGTTGAAAATTACCCTGTTGTCAAGTTGTCTTGTTAATGATTTCATTCGGTTATGTCAGAAAATACCCGAAGAGGTTATGTACAAATACTGTCACTGTCAGTTGAGTGAAAGATGGTCACCAAATTCATTAAGTACCTATCTTCCTTATTACGAGGTATCATATTACTGTTTGATATTTTAGAGTCCAAGATATATCTAAAAGAATATAAAGAACTAGAGATTATACTAATGAAATGCATTTACGACAAAATATGATTATAATTATAGGTACTTACTTTATTTGTTTAAAAGCTCCAATGTTCAATGTAACCAACCATTCCACAAGATTCCTCTGCTTTGGAGTCCGTTATTAATAAATCACTTATCTAATATCAATTACAAATAACATAACAATATTATTGATTTTCAATAATCTAGATTTAAAAAAAACATAACCCGAAAAAAAGAAACGTCAATAAATCAATTCTTCTCAACTAAAATTATAGATCAAGTGGTTTTAAAACTAAAATATTATAACGTGGCGCCATCTATCGTAAGAATCTTAAACTAAACACACTGGCAACCATAGAAAAAGCTGGCAACGTTGTCAATGGCCTAGTGACGTAATTAGGAGATTTTTTTTGTAAATATCTCGAAAACGGTAAACTCAATTGAAATTCCGATTTCACAGAAATGTTTAAAATTACAAAACGCCTTGAATAAAACCATAAAAAGTATAGGTCAGAAAAAATTTAACCACCCCATTATACTTAAACCAAAGGAATTTTTTTAGGAATAGAGGTATTCTTACATTTAGAGAACTCTCTTGTTTTAGGCTTGTTCCAGCGAGGTGATGATGTTCAGGATGGCGCGGAGGTACGACGTGACGTCAGACTCCATCCTGTTCGTGAACAACCAGCCTTACTCCCGCGACAGCTACAATTTGGCCGGCATGGGCGAAACCATCGAGGACCTGCTTCACTTTTGCAGGACCATGTACTCGATGAAGGTCGACAATGCCGAGTACGCGCTGCTAACAGCCATCGTCATCTTCTCAGGTAAGTAGCAAACTTGAAATTAAGTAGCTTGACATTAAATACACTATGATAGTTTTACAAACTTTTCTTTCCTAACATTAAGCACTCCAGCTTGGTTTAACTAACTTTGGGCCGCTGATTTCAAAAATGTCATTAGTTTTTCTCTGGGACGTCTAGGATTTAAAATAACTTCGTAATAAAATGCTCTGCTCAATCACCTCAAAATGTAAGTTTTTTGTCGGTATTTTAATTATTTATTAACTTATTTTGAATGTACTAAAGTAATTGGTATATAGCAAATGTATGTAAAAAAACAACCATTATTTGACATTTTTTGTCGTTAATTTTAATTATTAAATTGAACATGCAACAAAGTAAACAAGTTTCATTATTTCTTTATCCAAATTACCAAGTCCTCAAAATTTAATGCATTGCGTAATTTTGCTTTTTTCTACCTTAAATTTATTAAATCGTATCAAATATCAAATTGGATTATAGAATTTTTGTGCTGCAAATTCCAGCAAATGTCTCCTAGCAATGAATCCAACTTCTTTCCGCTAAACCCATACATATCTACCAATGCTCTAGATTTGCAGTTACTCGGTGAAATCGTTCTCCATGTTCATCAGTTCGGCAAATTTATCAGGATAAAAAAAAGAAAATGTATTTTAAATTACATATTAACGATAATTCTTTGCAAAACGGAAAGCATTTTTTCAATGAATTGGCGCCGATTTTAGGCCAGATATGAACCAAGAACATTTTCAATGACAGCTTAAACACTGCCATATGCGACAAGCTCGTCAACTTTGAGAGCATTTTTGAATGCTTGATCTTTCATTAAACGTCGTATATCAGGTCCATTTAATATCCCTGCAAAATTAAAGTAGTAGGTATATCTCATAAAATTTTGTAATGAACTCATTTAAATATTGCGTTGGTTTTTCTTGGGCGTAAAGGTACCGCAATAAAAACAACACTTCCATTACCACTTATTTCCTGCTCTTTTTTAATTTTTGGTTCTTAAAATCACTTTTAAGTAAAAATACAATTTAAAGTTTAAATTTTGAACGATAAAGTAGATAAAGGCGCCTTTATACTTCAATTCGATATTAAATTTTGATGAGACTTAATATATAAGATTGGAGATTAAATTTTTGGGTACTTTAGGCATGATGTGAATAAAAACATCAAATAATAGTCGAAGAGTAATGCTTATACCGAAACCCATTTACTTTGATGCTTTTTCAATTTAATTAGTAATTAAAAAAACGACACAAAAATTTCAAAAAATGATACTTTTTACCAAAAAAACATTATAATTTTAGTTTTGGTATTTAATAAAGCACTTCTCTGCAGAAAAGTGCTTTATTAAATATCCCTTATAAAATACTACTATAGTATACGGCTACAATGGAACAAACAAAATTTATATTTGACTTTTATCTACCGATGATTTTGTATGGAGTCCCTGTATATTTTTGACAAAAAACGTCAAAAATATACTGAACATCCATAATAGATTTAAGGCAAAATAATTTAATAAATAATCAAAATATTAACAAAAAACTTACATTTTGAGATAATTGGGCAGAGCATTTTATTACGCAATTATTTCGAATCCTAGACGTCCTGGAGCAAAACCAGTGGCATTTTTTGAAATCAGCAGCCCAAAATTAGGTAATGGACACTCACAGGCAAAATAATCGATCCACACAAATTTTCGGTGAATTTCAATCGCAAATAACTTTTTTATTTGATATCGGATTTAAACAAATATTAAAGAATATTGTACATACACTAATGGAAAATCGCTCACATTTTAAACATTACTAAAAAATAGACGTAGGTTTAAACAAAAAGATGTTATTTACCATAAGTTTAAGACACTCTGTAGAGTGGCAAAACCGTATATTGTTCTAAATTAAGTTTTATTTATCAAGTCACATCTATTCTTAACAGTTTTGTTTTTGGTTCACCTCGATATATTTATTTTTGTGGAAAATATGGATTTTTTAAAAAAACATTGCAATTTCCAATATTTTTCCTGTATAAAGAACTAAGGTTGCTATGGTCCATCCATAGCCTATGGAGGATGACAGTGACAGTTTTGTTGAATCATCTCATACTTGGACATGTCATATACAGCTTTTAAAAGCTATCAAATTGTTTTTTGTAAATTAATGTGTTAATTTTGAGGTGTCTTCTTACTTTTAAAAATGTCTCCGACTGATGTTGCCCTTTGTACTTTACTTCTTGTGACGTTTAAAACACTTGCCACGTAATACTGTGACCGTCCATCCTGGATTAAATTAATGGCTCTGGCAACATCATTCGGAGACATATCCATTTTTTAAAGTAAGAAGACACCTCAAAATTTAAACATTAATTTGCAAAAAACAATTTGATAGCTTTTGAAAGCCGTGTATGACATGTCCAAGTATGGGATGATTCAACAAAACTGTCACTGTCATTCTCCATAGCCTATGGATGGATTATAGCAACCTTAGTTCTTCATACAGAAAAAATATTGGAAATTGCAATGTTTTTTAAAAAAATCCATATTTTCCACAAAAATAAATATATCGAGGTGAACTAAAAACAAAACTGTTAAGAATAGATGTGACTTGATAAATAAAACTTAATTTAGAACAATATACGGTTTTGACACTCTACAGAGTGTCTTAAACTTATGGTAAAAAACATATTTTTGTTTAAACCTGTATATTATAATCGTACGTCTATTTTTTAGTAATTCTTTAAAAAACTTTCTTGACCCATTACTGGTAATATTCATAAGAAGAGCAAAGGCCACGTCGTTTGACGGTGTGGATCACGTGATGTTCTTACATCTCGTCTCTGTTGGCTTACCAACCGAGCATATAAGCTCAGGGAAAACTTTGGCGAGGTGTAGGTTCAATTTTTTGTTACCGAATGCCATTTAGTAAGTACTAAAAAAATCTGAAATTCTCGCTTTCCTTTCAGAACGCCCGTCGCTGATCGAGGGCTGGAAGGTGGAGAAGATCCAGGAGATCTACCTGGAAGCGCTGCGGGCGTACGTCGACAACAGGCGAAAACCGCGGCCCGGCACGATATTCGCCAAGCTGCTCTCCGTGCTGACGGAGCTGCGCACGCTCGGCAACCAGAACAGCGAGATGTGCTTCTCGCTGAAGCTGAAGAACAAAAAACTGCCGCCCTTCCTGGCCGAGATATGGGACGTCGATCTGAAGACATAGTGGAAGAGAGAGAGAGTTGCGTTGTTACTCTTGGTGGAGCTGTTCGAGACGTGTACGTATTCCTTTATTAATTGAACTGTACATATATAATGGATAATTGAGGAGGATGAAAACGGCAAGGAATGAATAGCTAGCCACCACCTGTTGGCTGTGAAATAAATGTAAAATTAATCTTTTTTTACTACTAACTGAACGTTGGACGGCATCTATAGAAGAAAATAATTATTATTATTATTATTACTGTTAGGTTTATTTAGATAATTGTAGTCGGCGTAGATTTTGTAACGAATAGAGTCTGGAAAACTTTTATAAAAACTTTATCTTGGCAATTTGCTTACTTAAATTGGTAAGACTGGATTTAGATTGGACTGACTTAAAAACATGAGGTGCCTTCATTTTGACAGAACGGATCAAACAGACTGAGGGCTGGTGCAAACCAACATTTAGAGGAAAAAAAACCGCACGCCAATTTACATTTTTACGACGATGGTATGGAACAAAGAAACGTTTATTGATCAAGTGCAATTTAGTTCTTAAAAGCAGCGTACGCACCAACTAGACAAACAAAACGATGAGTGGGCAGAATTACTTCGAATTTTCGCAAAAGAGGAGCCGTCCGAAGTCCGATAAAAAATACTTTAATTAGTGAATGTGTGAAGTGGTCAAAGGACTCTGACAAGTGCTATTTTTTTTAGACTGGTGCCATCTACCGAGGGCCATAGTCGACAAAATGAACGGTTTCTATTTTCCCGCGGAAACAATCCATCTCGGTTTTTAGATGACATTTTTATCAAGTACTATTTTACCAAAAATTTATAGATCGAAACTATCAAATAGTTTATAATTTTATTTATTTATACATATTTATTTATATTTTATTGCATTTAAAAACCGAAACTTGAAAGCCTAAGCCATAAAACCACGCGTCTCTGGGAAAATAGAAATCACACCAAATTATTAAAATGAAAAGTAATGTAAAGACTATCCTGCCTCTTTAAAAGAACTATTGATGTTTAAAAAAAATCTTTGATGTATAGCAGTTAGTCTATTACTCATTTTTATACTGTATAGTTTCGGCATTACCTAGTTTATCTGCTAGTAGATAAAATCAAGCATATATACATACATATACATATTTTTCATCGATGTAGATATACATATTTTCATATAGAGAGACAGAAGTATTTTTGTTCTAAAAACAACGATCGCGCCACCAATCACAAGAATTTTTACTCCATTTCCCTGGTTAACACTAGGGTTTTAAAGTGTCTGAAAAAATTTTGAGAAAAACCTTGTTTTTTTTAAATGTATACACATTCTAATAAAAGTAAAAATCAACAACCTAACATTATTTTAATTAAAAAAAATCCTTATTACAGAAAAAAAAACAAATAAAACTTGACACTTTATAAAACATTTATTTGAATTATTCAAATCAATGTTTAGTTTATTTGTTTTTTTTTTTTCTGTAAAAAAAGTTATTTTTTTTAATTAACACTGAGCGACAAAATTAAGGCATATTAAGTAAAAAATTCTAACTCTAAAACGCCTTTACGAATCTTTATGAAATTTTCTATAAAAATTCTTATATCTCAGTTTACGTGTTAGAAGGTTTTTTTATTTAATAATAAAAAAACGTTCGAAAAATAACTTTTAGGGATTTTTTTTAACTAAATAAAAAACATGCTGTCAAAGACCGTATTTTTGTTAGTATACCCTGAAATTTTTGTACAAATCAAACGAACAGTAACGAAGATACAGCGCTTCAAAGACGGTAAAAATTACCCCTTTTTGATTATTTTGCTGAAAAGTGGTAATTTTTGACGATTTAGAAGCGCTGTATTTTCGTTACTGTTTGATTTGTACAACATTTTTAGGGTATACTAACAAAAATACGGCCTTTCACAGCATATTTTTTATTTACTTCAAAAAAAATTTCCCTATAAAAGTTTTTTTTCGAGCGTCTTTTATTATTAAATAAAAGGACTTTAAGGATATTTTCTCGAAAAACCCTTGAACACGTAAACTGAGTATTTTTATCCAAAATTTTAAAAATATAACAAATATAAACAATAATTGAATCAGTAAAATTAAGAACAGTACAAGTCCAAAAGTTCAAAATACATTTTTGTGAGAAGATATAAATCATTTTACAGAATATATTTTATAAAATAGTTAAAATATTTTCTCAAAAGTGCATCTAGAACTATAAACCGGATTTTTTTTTAAAATTCGTAAAAATTTTAACTTTTGGACTTAATCTTTACGATTCAATTATTATAATCAGCGTAGAAAATGCACTTTTTCTCGATATCAGTGTAAGGATATATACGTAAAAATTTGGATTTTTTTTTAATAAAATAAAAAAATGCAAGCTAATTTTTCTGAAAATTTACCCGGAAATTTTAAAACCCTAGTTATCACCAAAATAAATTAAGAAAAAAAACAAAAAGTCTGAAAGTTAAAATTCCATACTTTGATTTCCACGTCCCTTCGTGCGATTGGCGGCGGTTCGTTTAGCGCCATCTATTGCCTTACTAATAAAGCACATACATATTATTTTACTCGGGAGTCAACCTAACCTTAATTTTGAACCAGGTAACCGGGCAATATATTAAAATAAATAAATAAATTATTGAATGTTTGTACATAACAAATGCATATTTATAAAACGTCATGTTGTAATAGGATAGCGCGTATCTCTGTGAGAGATAAATTTATGCGGGATTTATAAAAACAAAACAAAAATTAAACCTTGTGATTTTCCAACGTAAAGGCCTTCGCGAATGTAGAATACTTGTTAAAAATTCAGAGAGGTTTATAATTTTATTCTCGACAATATCAGGGGAATAACAGATTCTATCTAAAAAATAGTTTTAGACGCTCAGGTGGCAAAATTAACCGAAATATTTCGGTTAATTTCGGCCTTAAATTCAAAGAGTAATATTTAAATGTGTACAAAATAACGTGGTACAAAGAATTCAGGAAAATAAAAAAAATTGTTATCGTATTTAGCTATCGGTTGACTCCTTATGGTTAAAAAACAACGTGGAACCTCAAAGAACAAAAAAATCGTTATTTTTTGCCCCCGTCACACCTTTTTAGTGCCATATTTCCCGGAACTTCCGCCCAAAATTTAAACGATTTCAAAAGCAAATGTATACAAAAAATAACGACTTTTTACGTTTTGATAATCATACTCACTGCCATAAGTGGCTCTGTCTCTAAACACGTCATCAAATAATATTATCGTACTGTAACACTATAGTGTCACTTGATGTCTTTAAATCCATGCAGTTGTATTTTATATTGTAACGTAATGATAATGAATGCGGGAACTTTTTAATCGTAGATTTCCGTTGAGTTCGCTGTCGATTACTTTCCCGAACGCGGCGAAACCAAGGTCCATAGTTCGATAGCTCGTGACGTAATCATAGGGTAGATTGTCCATTTTTATTGCGGTGTTTGGGTCGGTAATTTTTAGCGAACGTGGAGCGAACTGAATCGGTATAAATTTAATGAAAAGTAGTTAGTTAAAATGTTCCCCAATTAATCTGGCACAAACTTTGTATTAAGAAGTTTTGAATATTTAATAATATAGTAATTATATTTGTCACTGCCAAAATTGCTGGACTGCCATTACCTTTTCAGATACTGTAATTTTTGTGTGTTAATGATAATAATAATAATTAAAAATAAAAATAATTATTAGCATCTTAACATTTAAGGACTGCATGGATTGTATTAAGTATAAAAATTATAAAAAAAAACAAGGACTGTAATATTGTTAATTGTGTATATGTTGAAATTTTCTTGTTCTTTTCCATGTTTTTATTTGAAAAAAAAATTAAATCGACAAAACAAGAAAATTTTAAGAACGTCGGATTTGAATGCAAGATAAGACTTCTGGAATGTTCAGTCAAACAAAATGAGACAATTACTTGCTTCATTTATATGGAGAAAATTAAACGTTATCTAACTCTAAAACGTCTTTACCAATTCTTCTGTATAAAAATACTTTAATTTTTTTTTATTTAACAATAAAAAAACGTTCGAAAAATAACTTAGGGAACTTTTTTTTAAGTAAATAAAAAATATGCTGTTAGAGACCGTATTTTTGTTAGTATACCCTAAAAATTTTGTACAAATCAAACGAACAGTAACGAAGATACTTCAAAGTCGGTAAAAATGACCCCTTTTTGATTATTTTGCTAAAGAGTGACGACTTTCGTTAATGTTCGTTTGATTTGTACAACATTTTCAGGGATACCAACATTTTCCCAGTATTTTTAAATTACTTCAAAAAAATTCCCTATAAAAGTTTTTTTCGAGCGTTTTTTATTATTAAATAAAAAGGCTTTAAGGATATTTTCTCGAAAAACCTTTTAACACGTAAACTGAGATATAAGTTAAAGTATTTTTATCCAAAGTTTTATAAAGATTGGTAAAGGTGTTTTAGAGTTTTTTTACTTGTTATGTGTTAATTATGACGCGCAGTGTATTAAAAAGAATAAAGCAAAAAGTTAGATTAAAAGACTAATTTAATAATTTTTCAATATATGTTTTGGATTATTTTGTATAGCTTGAGATAAATGGTAGTAATATCTACAATAAGAATTGCATAATAGACTAAATTTGAAATATACTTAATAAGAATTATTCAAAACACTTAATCATGATCTCTAATTTTCATTTTGTTGTCTTTACATTCCAAAATGCGAGGAACTAATGTAATACCTACTATATTGCAGCAATTTACATACCTAACCGTTTCTATGGGATATAATTTGTATTTTACTGTTTTAACCCCTTTTTAACCGATTGTGAGATTTAATTTAAGAAATTGTTTTATCTTAAGTGATTTTAAAGGAAATCTCATGTATGATAATGTAAATATTCTGAAATGATTCATCGATAGTCATTGATAATGAAAACCATTTTGTTAAATACTATGGATATTAAGTTTTGCATCCTTTGTTAAAAGCTCTTTTGTTGAAGCA